GGTGGCGGTGGCGTTAGCATAGTAGCATGGACGACGAGATGATTGAAAATGAACACAACGGAGATCTAGTCCTATTGGCAGACATCCATTTAAAATGTAGGCAACGGCATGAAAAAAGTGGTTTCTACTTTTACTTTTATACTTTAGGTAAATTTACAAGCCTGTACTTTGTTACTTTTACTTGAGTAAAGAAGTTTAATCAGTACTTCCACTTTTACCAGAGTATTTTTTAACACAAGTATCTGTACTTTTACTCAAGTACGGAAAGTGAGTACTTTTGCCATCTCACTCTAACTAGAAGTTTTATCAAAAAGGAAATTTTTAAGCCTGCCCTTAAAAGTAGACAGGGTGTCTGCCTCATGGACTAAAACTGGTAGTTGGTTCCACAGGAGAGGAGCCTGATAACTAAAAGATCTGCCTCCCATTCTACTTTAAGAAATTCTAGGAACCACTTTAGAAGAAGCAAAAAGCGAGGGGTGAACACTGGTCAAGCTCTTGAGTGTTGATGCTAATTTAAGGAAGCAAAGTGGCTCAGAAGCCGCACAGAGGTTAAAACTTTTCCTCTGAACTTGTAAGTCAAATGCTTTGTTTAGCATTAGCAGACATAGCAATTGTCTGGCTAACGGTACAGTACGGGATGAGAGCAGGAGTGTGCCGCTTACTGTCAAGGACAAGATAAGCTTTTAGCAATGGTCTTCAGAATAAAACCTTTTGAAAAAAGATTAAAAAAAAATTAAGCTGTTAATGTAACTATGTAATACCCACCTCTGCTAAAAACTGTTAGATGTTGCCAAAAGTGTAAAGAAAGAAATGAAGAATTTGTACTTAGATAAGAATTGTATTGATTTTTAATTAGCTTTACTTTGTCACAATAACTGTAAGTTAATTTGGGAAAACAAGCTGCTCAAAAAATATGAAACTGCTTAAAGATGTTCAGTACATTGTATCAATAATACATTGCTCCACCCTTAATTGAGTTTTTTCGTCACTCACCCAACAGAGGTATGTAGGAAAACATTATTTGACTGTTTTAGAAGTTACCCATGTTTGTGTTTGTCCTTGGACAAAAGACACAGACACAAAAATAAGAAAAAACAGTGACACACTTAGGAATTCTTTATCAGTAAAGTGCCATCAAACAACTGTGGAATTGTTGTTTGTAGTTGTGTCTTGCAGAGATGTTCAAAGATTGAACAACATGTTTTTGTTCTCCGCTTCTCTTAGAAAGATCTCAAAGGAAATCCACGTCTCTAACCTTTAGGCCCTTGCATCCCCATGGTTCTGCTTTACCCTCTTACATTCATGTTGAATGCTGTCCCTGAGGCATGAGGAAGAACCCAATGAGAACGTGCTGAGGCTCGCCACGCCGTGCCACCAGCGGGGGGCATCAACAGCTAGAGCCACTGTACCTTCCTTCACAGCTTGGATCTTGTTGCTACTCTTTAAGCATGTTTATTTCATGAGTGTTGAAAAAACATTAAGAACTAGAGGCAAATTCTCTCCCTCAGTGAATGCAAAATCTTTGCTATCTGTGGTTTATCAACCCAGAAAATCTATTCAAGACTAGAATTGTGAAAACCTGATTCTAAATATACCTTCTCATAAATAAATGTCATTGCTTGCTGAATTAAGACGGTTAATTTCATACTGTGGCTCATCTTTCTCTCTCGCTTTCTGTTACTTTGCCTGCTTTGCCTTCTTCCCTGATTAAGTAAAACTGATTAGCTCTGCTACTGCCGCCAGATTCCCCCCTTAGTTTCAAAGTGGATCTCTTGCTCTTTGTCTCAACCCATTTTGCTTTCTGCCATTTTGTCTTTTAAGCAGATTAGTTGATGATGAGATATGACAAGCCAATTTTACCAACAGGAAGGTCATTTCTAGTTTTTCTGTTTTTTTACTTACAAGTTTTGCCAAAGCAGATAGACCTGCAGTGACATCATCGATCTGTACGTGTTTCAACCTCTGAACTTGAAATAATAATACCATAATCATTTTCAATTTTGTATATGGTACTTGGGCTTGCTTGAAGTAATACCCTATCCAGAGGTTTCAAATCCTGGTCCTCAGGGCCTTCTGTCCTGCATGTTTTAGAAAATCTGAATGAACTGATTACCTTTCCTCCTCTGCAACCTCCAAAAGCTGTTTAATTCAGCTCAATTTAATTCAAATAGAACCTAAACACGTCATCTCATGGCAATTTACAAAGATAATTGAGTCAGATCATACAGAAAAGTTTTGAGCCTAAGGAAACCTATCTGATTGCATCAATCATTGATTTTCAGCATTCGTTCCTCTTGCATTGGCATGGGGTGACAGAAGATATACGTTGGCATTGTGCCGTGGAAGTCTGAATGATAAAGGACTAAACGCTGAAAAAGAGGCCTAATTCATTTATAACTGGAATTATTGATGGTACCAGCCAAGCTAATGTTACAGCCAAAACAGAACATAAAGTAGCAAATATCGTAGAACTATAGAATAGAGATACAGCTTCTTCCCAACCACAATTAGACTGCTGAATGTTGTAAAAGTGGGGTTAAAAAAATAAAAAGTGCTGAATTTTAGAAAATTGTAAAACATATACCAGTCTTATGTTTACATTTGATCACCATGTTTACATTTTATCACTGCTGCAATTTAGAAATGACTCTGAGTGTACAAAAAAATCAATAAAGTCTGTCTAATAAGAAATATGCTGAAAGAAGTTGATAAAAAGTGATCCCTATGTCTTCCAGCGCCCTGGGCCAATAGTAGCATAAAATAGAAATAACCTGAATTTTTTCTACTGCATTTGCAAAATCGGCCCTCTTCTATCAGCAGCTCCAAAAACACAGAACAGGGCGGAAGATTCTAAGGGATAATTTAAACCTCCAAGTTTTCTCCACTCACAGTGTGATGCTTTTCATCTATTAGAGTTCCAACTGAGGCCCAACATTTTGTGACTGTGTTGGCTGTGTGCTCCATCTGGGACAACACCAGTCAGAAGGTGGTGCCAAACACACAGGAATAAAAGAAACAAAAAACAATGGGTTATATCATAAACAGAAGAAAACAGTAAGCATGTTTTTTAAGAAATTCAAGGGGAAAAAAAGACCACTGATACTTTAATAGTGGCAGGATTCTTTCTTTTGTGTTGTGTAAACCAACCAATCATCGGGCTTCCTCTTCATTATAATGGTGCTGTCCTGGTAACGAGAGTGTTGACCAGAACTCAGCTACCAAGCATTACAGAGGAAATGAGGCACTTTTACACTTATTCATCCTAAAAAGCTAAATCCTGGCTAAACCAGACATTACTTTCAAAAACTAATACTTGATGTAACCGGGACACCTTGTGCCCAGTAGTACACCTAGTGTAAACAGATTGCAGGTTGGATGGCTACTGATGCTGTGAGAAAGGTATGCTTTTAAGCAGGGGTTACTTTATGCATTTGTGGTAATGTGGCTGTTTCGTTTTATTTTGAAGTTGGGTTTTATGTCGTTTTTCTGATTTGAAGTTGTTTGTTTTTCTTGTTGGATTTAGTTTTGGTTTTCTGTGTTGCATGTTTTCTTCTTATTTTGTTTTGGTTTGGAGGTGACGTTGCCACATGCACCCGGAGACCCCGTGGCGGCAGCACAGGTGCTCTCAATCAGCTGAGCAGCATACAGACGGTGGCGTTTGTAATAAAAGGCAGCTGCGCAGTTGAAGAGGGAGAAGAAAGCTGGACAAAGCACGGGGGAAAGGACCTGCAGACAGAGAGAAGACCGCGCAGTGAGGACCGCGCGGCGTGTTGGAGAGAGAGAGAGCGACAGCGGCCCGGCGTGTTGGAGAGAGAGAGAGCGACAGCGGCCCGGCGTGTTGGAGAGAGAGAGAGCGACAGCGGCCCGGCGTGTTGGAGAGAGAGAGAGCGACAGCGGCCCGGCGTGTTGGAGAGAGAGAGAGCGACAGCGGCCCGGCGTGTTGGAGAGAGAGAGAGCGACAGCGGCCCGGCGTGTTGGAGAGAGAGAGCGCGACAGCGGCCCGGCGTGTTGGAGAGAGGACTGTATGCTCCATTAGCGCCGGCTAAGAGTACACCCCTTTTTACAGGACTGTCCACTGACTCTGCTGTTCCTGACTACCCTGCATTTTTTAAATCTTTTTTTACCTTTTAGCTTATTTTTAACTAACTTCTTTTAAGTGAACTCTTTTTAAAAAGAAGAAAAAACCAATCATTGAACTCTTAAACTAATAAAAGGTTTTAGGGCTCTGCTCACAATCACCGCAGTCCTTTTTTTAGTTGTTTTTTTGGATGATCGCACCTCTCGGGCCCACAGAACCTGGCGTTGCTGGTAGGACTGTGGGATTGTGAGCAGTGTTTTAATTTTTTTAAGGGGGGAAACAAAAGATTTTTATTTATTTTTTTAAATTGTTGTTTTTAAAAATGATGATGCCTATTTATCCTGGTGCCCCCTGGATCCCTAAATTCGAAGGTCAGAATGATGTTAAATATAATGAATGGAAGGAGCAAATGCAAGGTCTGTTAGAGGCAAATGACTTACCTGAAGCACATAAGGTAAAGATTTTGATTGGTGCCCTTTCTGGTTTACCCAGACGTCAAATTAATGTGCTCTGTGATGATGAACGTGATAGGGTGACGAAAATATTTTCAGTTCTAGATGACTTGTACACAAAGAAGGTCCCCGTCTCTGCTTTACGGTCACAATTTTTTGGTTGTGTGCAGAAACCGGGCGAGCCTGTCCAGGCATATGGGCTCCGGTTGAGAGAGCTGTACCAAAAATTACGTAAGCATGATGTAACAGAAGCACCCACTGATACCCACCTTAGGGACCAATTCCTGCTTGGCCTGGAGGATGGTGCCATACTTCGGATGTTAAAACGGTTTGTGCGCCTGGACCCTGATGCAACCTTCAGTGCTGTTCAACAGGAGGCTCTTCTATTGGAAGAAGAACAAAGTCCTAGATGGCCTGAAGTGACATGTGCTGCGGTAAGAGATCCTAATGCTTTTCATCCTCACCAACAGAATAACTCGTGGAAAGAGGAGCTGAAGAAGGAGCTGATTGAGGAGGTGAAGACCCAGATAAAGGACCTTGCCCGCGAGTTAATCAAAGACCAGCAACCAACTGGCTCCACACGAACATCAGTAAGGCCCAGGGCCAAATCTCCATATTCTCGGGGGAAACGGAACCAGGACCGTCCCACCAGCTACCAGTGGGATGAGGAAGGTAGGCCCATTTGTATGACATGCAAACAATCTGGTCATATAGCCCGATTTTGCAGAGGGGCCTCTGTCAATCAGCCAGCTTTAAACTAGCACACCCTACTGTCGGGGCCCATGCAGTGGGGTCAGCTCAAAAAGATCAAGGGGCCACTACTAAATTAGTGGGGAATTGCCCATATGTGGATGTGTCGGTGGGAGGAGTTTGTTTGGAGGGACTTTTGGATACTGGCTCCCAAGTGACACTGATGCAACAGAGCCTGTTCCTCAAACACTTCCCTGACTGTGATGTTAATAATGTTCCCACTTACGTCCAGCTTAAGGCGGCAAATGGCCTCAAGATTCCCTGCATAGGCTACGCCCTAATGGACTTTAAGATTGAGGGTGTTGAAATTAACCAAAAAGGTGTTTTTATAGTGACTGATGAATGCTCCACGAATCCCTTCATTATTGGCATGAACGTAATCAGACCTTGCTGGGATGTGGTTTTTCGTAATCCTGGGAAGCCATTGTCTTTTTGCTGCCAAAACCCAAGGTCCCAACGGGCTTGGCGGGAGGCTTTCTTTCTTTGCCAGAGGACTGCTGTTGCCACGGAGGACGAGTTCATGGGATACGTTTGGCCAGCTCAGCGGCGAGGGGTCAGGATCCCAGCAAGAAGTGAGGTGGTGGTCTGGGGTCGAGCCCGAGCAGGACCAGCAGGGAGAGACTACTGTGGCCTGGTGGTCGCCCTGGAGGAGCCCAACACTGTCTCGGTGGGTCGCACCCTTGCTGTCGTCAGAAATGGTAGGCTCCCGGTTCGTCTGAAAAATTTGAATAATTTTCCAGTTACCCTAGGGCGCTACCAAAAGATCGGACGCCTCTACCAAGTAGACGATGTGGATGTCCACGGGGGGCGAGATGTTGACCTGGCTGTTGATGACAATGGCGTCGTACAAGTTGGGCTGGTGGAAGCTGTGGATTCCCTAGAGGAGAGCCAAGCCTTTAGCTTACAGCGGCTGGTGGAGCAACCAAATTTAACACCTGCCGAAGCTGGTAAGCTGACCACCCTACTGCAAAAATGGGATAAAGTGTTTTCTAAACATGATGAGGACTTTGGTCGGACGGACGCCGTCAAGCACACCATCCCAACGGGAGATGCATGCCCTACAAGGGAGAGGTATAGACCACTGCCACCACTCATGTATAAAGAAATGAAGTCACTGCTGGCAGACATGTTGGACAAAGGTGTGATAACTGAAAGTTCCAGCCCCTGGGCTGCACCCATTGTCATGGTCAAGAAAAAAGATGGAAGTTGGAGGTTCTGTGTCGACTATAGAAAATTGAACTCTGTCACTCATAAGGATGCTTTCCCTCTCCCTAGGATCGAAGAGACTCTAACCTCTCTTTCTAAGGCAGAGTGGTTTTCCACTTTAGACCTGGCCAGTGGCTATTGGCAAGTCGAAGTTGAGCCAAAGGACAGAGAAAAGACTGCCTTCACTACACCTTTGGGCCTTTTTGAATTCCAGCGCATGCCATTTGGCCTCTGCAATGCACCAGCAACCTTTCAGAGACTGATGCAGCAATGTCTAAGTGGTCAGATTACTGAGTCCTTACTTGTATATTTGGATGACATAATTGTCTACTCACCTGATTTTGATACTCACCTGCAGCATCTGGAAGAAGTCTTCATGTGTCTGTGGAAGCATGGCTTAAAGCTGAGACCCGACAAGTGCAACCTGTTCCAGAAAGAAGTGCGATTTCTGGGTCATGTGGTCAACCAGAGGGGGGTTATGCCTGATCCAGAGAAGGTGGAGGCAGTTACAGAGTGGGCTGCTCCAAAATCCGTTAAGGAAGTGAGGGCATTTCTGGGCCTGGCTGGCTATTACAGGCGTTTTATCCAGGGGTTTTCTAAAATTGCACGCCCACTCCATTCCTTGCTAACAGGCATTCCCACTGATAAGAAGAGTGGCACCAAATTAATAGACTGGACATTAGAGTGTCAAACTGCATTTGAAAGACTAAAAGAGGCCTTAACCCAAGCACCAATACTGGCCTATGCAGATTACACCCAACCTTTTAGCCTCTACACTGATGCCAGCAATCATGGACTGGGTGCAGTACTGGCACAAAACCAAGGAGGAGAGGAGCGAGTGATCGCTTACGCCAGTCGCAGCCTACATCCTGCAGAGCGAAATGATGCAAACTACAGCTCATTTAAATTGGAGCTCCTGGCACTGAAATGGGCAATCACCGAAAAATTCAAAGATTATCTAACTGGTGCCAAGTTCACAGTGTTCACTGACAATAATCCAGTTGCTCATCTACAAACTGCTAAACTTGGAGCCGTAGAACAACGGTGGGTTGCTCAGTTGGCCTCATTTGACTTCGAAGTGAAGTATCGAGCAGGGAGAGAGAATCTGAACGCAGATGCATTGTCCAGATTCCCCAAGGTTACAACCAGCACTGGATACACTGTAGCAGCCGTAATTGATGCCGATGTAGAAGACATGGGTTCACTGGAGCTGGGGGAAGATTGGCAGACCCTCCAGGGGGCGGACCCAGACATACAGCAGGTACGAATGTATGTGGAAAAGGGGAGGGCCCCAAATAAGACTGAGCAAGCAGTTTTAGGTCAACCGGCAAAAAAACTGCTGAAACATTGGAAGAGACTTTGCATACACAAGGGGGTTCTCTGCAGACATGTGTTTGACTCTTATATGTGCGAGCCCCGTTTCCAGATTGTGTGCCCAGGGTCCAAACGTCAGGAGGTCTGGAGGAAATGCCATGAAGCTACAGCCCACGCAGGAGTGGAGAAGACCCTCGCTCACCTGAGGCGCCATTTCTTCTGGCCAAGCATGGAAAAGGGGGTACAGTGTTTCCAGAATGAGTGTGTCGTCTGTAGTCTACAAAAAGACCGTGTAGAACCACGAGCACCTCTTAAGCCGATTGCTGTGTCTTACCCTTTGGAGATAGTAGCTCTTGACTTCCTCTCCTTGCGTCGGCCGAATGATACATATCAAAGTATTTTAGTAATGACCGATATGTTCACCCGTTACTCGTGGGCTGTTCCTACACGTGATCAAACTGCTCAAACTACTGTCCGTGCAATTTGGTCTCATGTCATCCAACCATTCGGCTGCCCAGCGCGTTTTCATTCTGATCAGGGACCAAACTTTGAATCCGAACTGATGAAAGAGCTATGTAGCTTGTATGGTGTTTCTAAAAGCCGCACTACCCCATATCATCCAGCAGGTAATGGGAGAGTAGAAAGGATGAACCAAACCTTATTAAACATGCTTCGTACACTGGAGGTGGAAAAACAGAATAGGTGGCCAGAGCATTTGCCAGAGTTGTTGCATGCTTACAATAATGTCGTCCACAGTGCTACCGGGTTTGCTCCATCTTACCTCATGTTTGGTCGTCATCTTAGGCTCCCAGTCGATTTGAGTTTGGGTGTGGTAGACGCACAACCCCGCCACAATTTGCAGGGATGGGTCTTTGAACACCATCAGAAGTTATCTCACGCTTATGAGGTGGCAAGAAATAGGATGACTAGTGCAGCAGATAATGAAAAACGGTGTTATGACAAGAAAGCCAAAGCAACTGTGCTTCTCCCTGGGGAACGCGTGTGGGTCCGGGATAGGAACAGACAAGGACAGGGCAAACTACACAGTTGGTGGAATCCAGAGCCATATGTAGTTGTGGGCGTTGTCGGGGACACCGGTCTAGTTTACTGTGTTAGGCCAGAGAAAGGTGGGAAGGAACGAACCCTGCATAGAAATGCTCTGAAGACTTGCATTGCTCCTTCTACCAACACGTCGAGGGAACAACCTCCTGTCGAAACACATGAACTGCCTTTGATGCTCTATTACCCTGTGCTTAATGGAGAACAAGAACAAGTACTGCGCCGCTCTACACGTACTACGAGAGGGCAATGCCCAGCTCGCTATAGAGACTAAAGATCGGCCGGGACTGGCCTTTTTAAAGTCTGGGGGGGTGTGGTAATGTGGCTGTTTCGTTTTATTTTGAAGTTGGGTTTTATGTCGTTTTTCTGATTTGAAGTTGTTTGTTTTTCTTGTTGGATTTAGTTTTGGTTTTCTGTGTTGCATGTTTTCTTCTTATTTTGTTTTGGTTTGGAGGTGACGTTGCCACATGCACCCGGAGACCCCGTGGCGGCAGCACAGGTGCTCTCAATCAGCTGAGCAGCATACAGACGGTGGCGTTTGTAATAAAAGGCAGCTGCGCAGTTGAAGAGGGAGAAGAAAGCTGGACAAAGCACGGGGGAAAGGACCTGCAGACAGAGAGAAGACCGCGCAGTGAGGACCGCGCGGCGTGTTGGAGAGAGAGAGAGCGACAGCGGCCCGGCGTGTTGGAGAGAGAGAGAGCGACAGCGGCCCGGCGTGTTGGAGAGGGAGAGAGCGACAGCGGCCCGGCGTGTTGGAGAGAGAGAGAGCGACAGCGGCCCGGCGTGTTGGAGAGAGAGAGCGCGACAGCGGCCCGGCGTGTTGGAGAGAGAGAGAGCGACAGCGGCCCGGCGTGTTGGAGAGAGAGAGCGCGACAGCGGCCCGGCGTGTTGGAGAGAGGACTGTATGCTCCATTAGCGCCGGCTAAGAGTACACCCCTTTTTACAGACTGTCCACTGACTCTGCTGTTCCTGACTACCCTGCATTTTTTAAATCTTTTTTTACCTTTTAGCTTATTTTTAACTAACTTCTTTTAAGTGAACTCTTTTTAAAAAGAAGAAAAAACCAATCATTGAACTCTTAAACTAATAAAAGGTTTTAGGGCTCTGCTCACAATCACCGCAGTCCTTTTTTTAGTTGTTTTTTTGGATGATCGCACCTCTCGGGCCCACACATTATTTAGACAAATGTAATGGACTCTTTTGACCCCAAAAGGATCCAAACCCTTTAATTCAATTCAGTTTATTTCTATAGCGCCAATTCACAACACACGTCATCTCAAGGTACTTTACAGTTCAACAAGATCATCCTGTCAAATTGATTCAAAGTTTTCTATCTAAGGAAAACCAGTTGCTTGCTTCGACTCATTGACTCGAAGGCAATCCCTCACACTAAGCATGCTTGTAGTGACAGTGGAGAGGAAAAACTCCCTTTTAACAGGAAGAAACCTCCAGCAGAACCAGACTCAGTGTGAGCGGCCATCTGCCATCTGCTCACACTGAGCACTGTCCAGTTAGTGACACAGTTGACGGGGTCGACATTAATTAGCTTTATATGCCAGAGGGCAAAACTGATCCTCTTATTTTAGTTTTGTTCCTTTTTCTTGAAGCGTTTGGCTAAACTAATTGTTTTATTTTTGCAGTGGTTGTCCTGCTGCTGATTCAGTGATTTAAGTTGTGCTAGAAATTTAATCTATCTTGCTTATTCCTCTTTTTTTATTCTGAGATGAGATTCTCCAAGTCTCACAATTAAAGAGCGAACTGGATCTATGTTTTCCTTGAGAGGAAGCCTTTATTTTAGTGCTTAAATGACTATTAAGATGGGATATTTCTATCTGCTGTGCTTAATGAATATTTTGCGTGTGAATTGGTTTGTTTTGTGGATAATTAGGTGTTTTTATTTATAACCTTTTCCCCCCTCTTGTGCAGAATCACCTACATGAATAGTTATAATAGATATCAGCCATTTGTTTCTCAGAGCAAGGATAGTCTCCGGCTTTACTCTGCTGTTTTAAATATTATTGCCAAAAAAAGTCATTGGCATTAAATATATATTTTAGCAATCTGTTTTTTCCGTACAAGCTAATGCTTATAACGGCTTTGTAAAATGAGAATGGGTTATCTTCCCAACTGGTAAAATTAGCTGTTCTACACCATGGGGCAGACTAGAGATTTGATGGTCTCACTGTTATTAATAATAAGAGAAATATGTCTCCTTTAGCATCCTGCACAGCCGGTGACTAATACAGATTGCCTCAGAAAGTCAGGCATTACTCTTTTCAAGAGGTCATTACACAGAGAAATGACTTTTCCACCTTAAAACTTGAGCTAAAACCTGTTGGATTATTTGTTCACACCAGAAAAGCAAAGAGGCCTGCTCTCCATGTTCTTTTGTTCCCAATTGATTTATTTAGTTATTTAGTCCACCTTACCATCACCCGTTCTGTTGCTCTTCCTTCAAAAGGGTTGATCCTGGTATCAGTAACGCACCTGTAGGCAGTCAGGGTTGCTGCTTGTGTAACTTGTAATCACCCTCAACAGACAAACCTGTGTAGTAATAAGTGGGCCATCCACATAGATTTTACAATTAACGAAAAAGTCCGGTCATATTCAGAATTCAAACTTCTAAAGGTACGTTAAATATGAAATCATTAAATACTGTTCAATAAATGATCAGTGTTTTTAATTCAGAGAAATGTTCATGTGAATGTGCTTTACTGGAGGCATCCATGCTTGTCAAAGAACACTACTGCCACCTACTGGTTTGTGACGTCACGGTGCGGTATCGGCTGTTGATCAAGTCCCAGTGCTGTATCTGGTGTTTGTCACAATGCGCTGGAAACCTTCTTCCAAATGTTGGCTACATATTACGTGTGTTTTCTCTGGAAAGAACTTAAATGGCATTCCTCGCTGTTGAAGTTGGCAATCCAATGATGAACCCGTCCGTGGAGAATCAGAATAGTGAAATAACTACTTTTTTGTTTTACTTTTACCTGATGTATTCCAGCATCCAGCTGCCATGCATGTGGGCATTGTCAGTTTCACTATAGCTCTGGTGAATTTCAATGGTGAAGTCCTCTGGAAATCTTCAATAATTGTTGTTGATTGCAGATGTGTCTAGTAGTTCCCATTGATTGATTGTAAAGCGGGGAGAATGGCGCTAGGCTTACCGCACCGTGACGTCACTGCTGGAAGATGGCAGGAGGGAGGGGTTACTATATTTGGGCAAAGATGGCCGCTCCCAGACTCAGTAGTGGTGATGAAATTTATTATTTTTTTTCTTTACTGATTAACACTAAATTTATTAAATCACCACAAACATATTAGTTTTAGGTATAAATAATGATCTATTGATCATTCCTTGCTGAACGGATTTTCCTTTAATATAGACAGATAAAACACTGTGTGGGGTTATGATGCTGCTAGATTTTAAAAATTATTTTCAGATCCTAAAAAGGCACTAAGCATCTCCAAATAATCTTCCAAATAAGATGCAAATTAAAGCATTTTAGGTGCTTTGCTCCTTTTTTTGGTAATTGTTTATTTTGATAAATTATTCAAAGAGAATTGCAGTATGCTGGATTCCCTTTTCATATCCTTACTTCACATTTATAGTGTAAAATAAGGTTTATTTTGACCTGAATCAGTCTGATCAAATTCATGATTTAGAACAAATTCCCACCCAGCAGACTTGGTGTGTATTTGGAATGTTTTTGTTTTTTCAGCAGAGCTTTGAGCAGAGATGCAGCTCTGGGCTTTGTTCAGGCTGCTTGATTCAGAGTCAGAATGATGGAGTGCTGCCTTGGAGAACCTGTCCTCTAAAATTACTGGAGCAAAACCCAACAGAGACAGTTTGGCATGAGTCTGGCAACCATCTGATGAATAAGGAGCCAGTTTGTGCTCACCAAAAAGTCTTAAAGACTTTGAAGATTCTTGAGGGCTAAAGCCCTGTGGTGCAGTAAATCAGCCATCAAAGCTATTAATAAAGCAAAAAAAATATATTTTGTTCAAAGCTTTTATACAAAAAGCTTTTGTGACTCTGTATCCATTATTATGTAGCTTTTCAAATTGTCAGATTTTAACAGCAGTGAGAATAATTTTAGTGAAAAGAAAAGGCAGTTTTTAAAGGACTAATTCAGTCAGGGACAGTGGCTCTTCCAACCACCTGGCTTCATGTGAAAAAGTGTCTCTGTTGTGAACCTTTCTTTTAACTGTAATCAGCCAAATTTCATAGCTAAATCTATAGAATAAGTAATGTATTTAATAGGTACATATCAGGTGAGATGGAGAATGCTGAGGATTTTTAACCAAGCAACACATCCTGACCTGATCTAATGTCAGACACTGTCAGTGAGTCTAGAAAGAATTTCTATGGCTTTAAGACTCCAGAAAACCTCAATGACAATAAGGTAAGGCAGACATCCCAAGTTCCAAAAACTCCTTTCAGGGAGATGCTTACGGTGCACCTCGCCATGGTGTCATCTTTCCTCACCAGTTCTATATGGTGGCCGGTTCTATATGCGCTGGTACAGACATGGTCACTGATAGGTCCTTTGGATCTATTTCATTCTTTTTCTTTACAAATTCTGTTTCATTAATTATTCAAAAACAATAAGGTGATAGCTTCAGTGGTATTGAGATAGGAGCAGAGTTTTTATCTGCTAAATGTTTTTTTTCACAACAAGTAAAAAAAAAACTCTAATTTTACAGATGAATTTAATAGTTTTTCTTGAGTTCTAATTCAAATTTTATAGAAAACGGTAGTTTTATCTTAAATTATGTCCAACATATGTAAAATTCCTAATTTATAAATGTATATTGACCTAATAAGTAGTAGAATTTTTATTGAACCTAATTGAAAAGAAATTTCATTTCATGCAGCTCTCCTCATAAATTTGAATCTCTTGCCCTGTTTTTTATTTCATGCCTTTCTGGGCCCCCATGAAAACACGCTGGTCCCCTCCTTTTTGGACCCCTTAGTATATTCTGCTGTAAACAAAGTCCTATATTTTCGCTTTTTTTGTACTTCAGTAACAAATGTCTGTACTTTTGACACCCCTGAAGGTATGGCAAGGCAGGTTTATTTCAGAAGCACATTTCAGTGACAAGACCATTTAAAGTTCTGTTCATGACAAAAAAGAAGCATATCGCAGTGGCATAGAATCAGATAATAGTTAATCATTGAAATAATGTGATTATATTTAAAAAATCTGATTATTTAGCACAGTGAAAGGACATTTTAAAGGAAATGCAATATATGATCTAGATTTTAAGCTTCTAAGGGTTTCAGCTCCTTTATTGATTTTGTTGTTATTATTTTTCCTGGAGTTTGTTCCAGATTAGTTTAGAACTACAAACAGTTTTTCTATGTTTGGTTCTGGTTCTGCAAAATCAATATCTCATGGTCTTTGTGCTGATGGTTGGCATTCTCATTTGCTCCTGCTCACCTATCTAATTGACTCGGTGGCTGATAAGTGCCAATCGTTTTCACCTGTTCCCTCAGCTATTTATGTTGTTCGCCTGCCTACCATCAGCGCCAGATTATTTGAGCTGCAGTGAGAGTAACTCTAGAGTTTTCTCTGTTATTCTGATTCTGACCTGTTTTCTGCTTTGTATATTTAGGTTTTTGCCTTTGCCCTTGTCTGTTCTGTCTGACCTCAGCTTGGATTCTCCTTACGGACACCGTTGCTCACTTGGAGTCAGCT